AGTTCACTGTTGTGACAACCTCCTATTTTTCTGGATTTTCTTGGTACAATACAGTGACTAGTTTATTAGAGTCCACTGTGAGGAGACAATTCTCCTCAGTCTTATTTACGTACCTTCCAACCTGAGTGTCTCACCTTCAGGCACTCAGGCACTCTACCAGTGAGCTGCTGCTGCTGCTGTTAGGATTTCCAATGACCCATTATTTCCGAAGTGGACGGCCAGCACTGCTGTTCTGCCTTACGCTGGAAGCTCTGTTCAAACCTGTTCACTGCGGGTAACCCTGCTGGTACTGAAATACAAAGGCACAGGTTCCAGATCGTGCAAGCCACAATAAGGCAAACTGACAGAACAGCGGTAGATAAGAACCCCTGTTATTGTTAGGTTCCATCAAGTCAAGGACTCATAGCAATCCTGTCCTGTCCTCTTCATCTCTGGCCCACTTGAGCCCACTGCAGTGTCACTGTGTCAGTCCACCTCATTGAGGGTCCTCCTTTTGCTGACCCTCCACCTTGACAGGAACGATGTCCTTTACCAAGAAACAGCATCTTCTATCAACATGCCTAAAGTATGAAAGGAAGCTTCACCATCTTTGCCCCCAAGGAACACTCGGGTGTACTTTTCCCAGGGCGTATGTCTTCCTTTGGCAATCCATGAAATATTCAGCACTCTTCAACACAACTCGAATGCATCAGTTCTTCTGCCATCCCCCAGGCCACTGATTATTATCAGGTCAATTTTTTTTCTCCACAGAGAAAAAGCACTCAGCTTGCATTTTCTTGTCCTCCTCACTCTGTAACTGAAAGAAAGTAAAGGCTTCACAGCTCACCTGCAACGCTTGAGTCAGCTACAAGACTTGGCCTGGACCTCAGCACTGATAGAGACTTGAGAGTCTTAACCTGCATGCAGTGCACCTGCGCCACAGAAATGAGCAAGTCTACAATGTGTTATGGACTGAATGCTGGTTGTTCCACAAGACCTTCTAAAACTATGTCATGTGTTCTTTCTAGATTGAATGTTCCTGAGAAACTCGTGTGTCTCCACCGCCAAGGAATTTGGAAGTTCACACGGAAAAGTAAAGGCGAGCTGCTGGGGTCGGCACTTTCCACCTTTATGGACTGACAGAACGGGGGATGCAAAATGTGTTTATTTCCTCTCCACAGTCTTACCTGTTCTATGCTGTGCACTGTTAATAGTAACCAGTGACATAATTGTAAATATTTATAGCTTTTTGATAACTTTTGTATTTTGAAATCTCTCCTTTAAAATAAAATTGACCAAACACATATCATGTTTTCCTGCACTTGGAGATGAAGGAAACACGTGTGAAGTGGATACAGCGCTTCTCTCTCAGTTGCTGTTTTAAAGGAGGGCTCCCAGATTAAGACACATGAGGAAGGAGGCCTTTCACATCTGAAATAACAGGCCTTTGAAAACCCTATGAACAACAGAATACACTTAAGACTATTTTAGATACAGCACTAGAAGCTGAGACCTCATATTGGGAGATGGCTTGATAGTGACTAAGGCAACGAATGGGGTTAGGTGTGTCAGAGACGGTGAAGTTGGCCCATGACAGAGCAAATTCAGAACCACTGTCCGTAGGGTCCCAGTAAGTCAGAGTCAACTCCATGGCACATAACAACTGTGAAGTTTGTGTGTTGCACAGATGTAAACACTGTTAAAACAGAAATGTTTCTACAAATCAAGGCCACTTAGCAGCACCAATCCTATAATCAAAACATGTAAAACCAGCATTTGAAGGTGAGTAAGCTCAGGATAGTAAGCTGTTGTACAATGGGTTGCTATGAATCAGAGTTGAGTCTACGGATGTAACAACAGCCATAAACTAACCAGTCAGTCATACTATGTGCTACAGAATTCCTGTTGAAGTTTCCTCACTTGACCTATGAAAATAAGACATTTGGAATCTTTTCAAGGCTGATGGAGGGCGTGCCTCATCCTCCCTCCCAACCTCCACTAGTGCATCTGTGCACATGGGATGCGATGGGAGCATGGAGGGGTGTGTGTACATGTGCAGAGACACCCCACTGGGAATGCATACTCCTGCAGCAGCTCCTGCTAGCCTGCCTGCTGCATGCCATGCCCCACCAGTGTCCTTGAAGTCTCAACTGGAAGAATGAGTCATGTAGCCTGCTGCACACCTGCCAGCAATGTATTAAAGCAGCACCTGTATATCAAGACTGCGGCCCAAATTGACAGTGTTCTAGAGCATTCAAGTAAGGAGCCCGCCCACGATGATGCCTCCGGCTTTGTAACTCATTCATTCATTCTCTTTGGCTGGTTATAGAGGCTTTGGTTTTACTAAAGTGGATCAACACACATTACTATACAGTCTACCCTCTTCCTGTATCTTCTTATTTTAAGGATAACGTGTTAGAAATAAGAATCCTCAGAGGTACTTGGGATTCTGAGAGGATGAGAACATTCATATTTTAGGAGTTAGGGCCTTAGAAATTAATCTGTGAGCATAACTTTATCAGAAAATGTTTAGGACAGTACTCATCCCAGCATATATAGATCTACTGCTTTTTAGTAACTTCAAGAGGCAAACAAGGGTGCTGCTGACTGCTGCCATTCAACCAGATGAAGGATGAAGCTGAACGGGATAGCTGTTGTATGCCCTCCAGGTGACAACAACTCACAGCCATCTGAAGAACAGATCTGAATCCTGACCTATCCTACACCGTCACACAATCTCCAACATGCTTTGTTACAGTGTCAATCTATCCTGAGGGTCTTCCTCTCTCTCTGACCTCTCACCTTTCTATGCATGATGTTCTTTTCTGAGAACTGGACTCTCTTGACAACTAGCCTCACTGAAGTCCCCCATCTTGGCTTCTAGCACCCTGGCTCCACTGCTCCAAGTCAGACCTGTTTGTTCTTTTGGCTGTCTGTGGGATAGTCAGTACTCTTCTCCAACGCCACAATTCAAAGGCATTCATTCTTCTATCATCCTTTTTCACTGTCCAACTTTCAGATGCATAGGAAGCAACTGAAAATACCATGGCCTGGATCAGGGGCACCTTCGTTTTTAAATGGACATTGCTTCTCTGTAGCCAGCTCCTTGACAGATTTTCCCCAAGCGACATGCCTTCTGATTTCTTGACTTCTGTTAGCATGTGTGTTGATTGATTGTGGATCCAACTAAAATAAAATCATTGCCAGCTTCAGTCTTGTTTCCATTTATCATGATATTGCATACTGGACCAGTAATAATTTTTCTTTTCTTGATGTTGAGACGTAATCTATCAACTGTGAAATGGTTGAGATTGATCTCAAGAAGAGCAAGTGGGCAGGATATGCCTCATAGATGTGTGGCATCTCGTGGTGCCAATGAGCATCTATTTATCCCTATGTGGCCACTTAAGACTCTCATCCAATCTAGTGTGAAACTAACACCTTTCTACCATTAATCCTACCATTCATCTCATTGTGATGAAGATAAATCAAACAGACATGTGTCACCTTCTTACATCAAAGAGCACATTTATGATTGCTACTACTAAAAGTTATTTACTGTATATACATATTATACCAACTTGGTGGTTAAAGCATTTATCATGAAAAATAAAAAGAGAATGAACAGTAAATGACACTCTTCATTGTCCTGGAAGAATTTACAAAAGGTGGTCATCCTCCCTCGCTGGTCTGGTGAGACAGCACTGACGGGAACCTTCGCTGGAGAAGAGTTCCCAGCTGAGTTCTGACTGAGAGGGGGATATGACACAGTAAGCAAAGCAATTGTTTTATTCCTGTCATGAGTGTCATCTACATGAAAAGACACTTTTGTTACTAGTAAATATACTTTAAATGTTTCAAAGTGTTATGCATCATCTTCCAAACTAGAGTATAACCTCCTCAAATAAAATAAAGTATTCTTGTTTTCACGTCTTTCTGGAACATATTTCACAGAGGGACTGTGAGCATCTGTTGACAATATTTTAAAAAGCTGGGCACCGAAATCCCACACACAGTCTTAGGGTCACTCAGGAAGCACGGCTGTAGTTCTGTTCCGGATCTCCAGCTTCAGCAGGGGGTGTGGAGTCTGACAGAACAGAATCAGATCTCCCAAGGAAGAACTAAGCAAAACCAGTGTTCCTCTCGTCCTGCGTCACAGTGGACTGAAGCATGGGACCCAGCCTGAACCCTATGCATTTGAATCTGATGGACTGAGACTCTGGAACAAGAAAAATACCTAGTAACCCTCTGTAGTGCCTGCTGTACCCTGTAGTAACAGCAAGGCTTAAAGGCATAACTAATAATTGTGGAGGGTTAGATCAAAGAGTAATGAAAAGTTCTGGCTCTTCCACTGCCAAAGGTATGTTTCACACAGTGGCTAGTAAGGAATACAATAAGTTTTTGTTTCATGCCATCATTTGTAAATAGGAAAAATAGCACACCAACATAATATTTTACTGTACAACAGGACAAGTTTGAGAATTTGCCTATGTAGCATGGGGAATATTTTTATTCCTAATTTATACTTTGCAAGATATATGACAATGTACAAAGAATAACCACTTTTAAGTGGTGATTGGTTTGTATTTTGATTTATTTACAATATTTCACCACTTAACAGTAACTGAATTTTTTAAAAAATAATTAGTCCTAGAAAAGCCACCAGAGTAAATTTGTAAGCTTAAAACAACATCTCAGTACCAGTGTTACAAATCACATTATTGTTTCACTAAAATCCAACTTCATAGCCTATGTCTCGGTTCCAGTTTTAATGACACACCGTAATTTGGAAGTACAGCAATCTGATTAGATTGACAAGGGAGTCCTATCAACCTCTATAAGAGGTGTACACCGGTCTAGGAATTACATCCGTCTAGCTGTATTACCATCTGTGTATTGGGACCGGGGCTCATCCCGTTACTGCCGAGACATGGTTCCTCGGGGGAAATTTAAGGCTTTCTCTAGACCAGCTAGACAGGTCAGCAGGGTGAGTACAAGTAGCTGTTAACAGTGATAATGTTTTATTTCTTCAAGCTTTTGCCTTTTCCTTTCTTCGGCTCCTTATCTTTTTCAGATTTTGAAGGCTTTGAAGATTTTGTCTTTTTCTGTTGGGAAAATATACACAAGAAGTACTTAATACAGCATTTATGAACAGCTGAAGTAAGCTGTTTCACAGTTCTTCTGTTCTTTACCTGTCCTTCATTAAAAGAGAGCGAGAGATTAGCCTGTCTGCATCTAGAGCTTGGACTAATGATCTTCCTGAGGAGTTCACTGTCAAGCAGTGATCAGGCACTTTGGTTATCATCTTTTTAAAATAGCACCAACTTTGGATCTGATTCAACGTTACACACAAGAATCAATCAATTAAAAAAGACTGTAAAAAAAAAAAAAAAGAGATCATACCAACAGTTAGAAAGCTGTTTAGAATCTAAAGCAAAATTATGTTACCCATGTAGGCAGGTCGCTGGACTTATGACAAAGAGGGCAGTGCTTAAGTGAAGAATCTGGTTTCCTTTTCCCTCACATTTCAAATAAAGATCCAAACACTACTATTGTGTCTGCATGAGCTACACTTACACTATGTGATGCCCACATACAAAACAGATAAAAGTAGCAAAAATGATCCGCACCCACGCAAAGGGCAGAGGTGGCCACAGACAAGACGGCTTTGCTCCAGTCAGTGAGAAACACTGAGCTGATAAGAGAGCCGATTTTCATCTTTACTAATGATGACAAGGATGTTCTGTTCTGTGAAACTTCTGTAGTTATAGCAAAGCACAAATAACAGAATAAAACATATGATTTCATTTAAAGTGTTTTTCTTGATTATTCTGTGAAAACTGGTGTCTGTGGGTTACGAAATCATCGAGAAAAACAAAAATGGTATGTTCTCTAGCACATGTGTATGACTTATTTTCTTAGTGTCTGGATCCTCTACTCTCTGGTGGCCTAGAGGTAAGGAGCTGTGCTGTTTAAATCCACTAGGTGCTATGCGGCCAAAGGATGGGCAGTCTCTCCCCATTTACTGCTTCTGAGAACCCCTTGAGGGGCTTAGCTGTGAGGCAGTTCTGACTCGATGGCACCCAACAGCTACTGTAAGAAGAATGAAAAGTTATTTTCAACTCACTCTGCTACCTGCTAAACAATCACTAGTATTCAAAAGCAACTTACACACCAGAGAAGGCAAACCATTAGAAGGACCACGCAGCTTAAAAGGCTACCTTGATCATCGCATCGGTTTCCAAAGCATCCTGGTCTTTCTCATCAGACTGAGAGTCATCTTCAATTAACTCCTCACTGTATTCAGACTCCAGCACCGGGCCTGTGCTGCGTCTAGACATCCTTACTGCCTGAAGGGAATATGGAGTCAGGTGGGCTTCCTTATTGTACGCTCTCGTGAAGGCTGCCTTGACCTATGTAATCAGAGGAGGAGAAGGGAGTTAAGGATAACAACTACATGCCAAATGATTCTACTCAATTCTGTTAAGCCTAAGGACTTTCAGATCCTGGAGGCCCCTGGAATTATCTCTAACATGTTGATATGTGTGTGTTTGTGTGTGTGGTGGTGGTGGTTATATAATGTCAAGTCAGAACCGACTCATAGCTGACCCTCCAGTGGATTTTCAGAGGCATTTAATTGTGTAGAAATCAGTAAATGAATTTCAACTGACTCAGTAAGAGTGGGTTTGGCTTTATAGTTCAAAATACTAACAGCCATCCTTTTTATGCAAATAGCACGTGTTATATCCTGTACAACTCCTTCTTGCATTAACTTCCTACTCAGATTGTGCACTGTATGTTTTATTCACATGGGTTCATTATATGCAAAAATGCATTACCTCCAAAAGCCTTAACTTCAAGGTGCATAAATACATAAAAGCTTTTAGACATAATTCTTGAATTCTACCAGTAGAAATCCGCTTGGAGAATTTACTGACAACAATAATAAAAAGCCGAGATTATGGAAAAGGCAAGTCACAGAGGAGGAGGCTATGCCTTCTAAACAGCATCATATAAACAGCCTCAAGAGTGAGGTGTTAGATAACTGTATAATCATGTCTTAACACAATGACTTTCTTTACACTTTTTACAAGAGGTAAATAGGGGCTATGTTATTATAGATTATCCAATTGAAATATAAATACTGAATCTTCAGATGAGGCAGACTTGGAAAAATTCCTCAGGTAGTAAAAAAATCACAGCTTTACTTCCCAAGGCTTACCCTTCTGCCTCTAAGAAAATACTTTTATGTTCCTCACATTTCACATCTTGTGAATAGAAAAACAAATTATAAAGCCAAACCCAGAAGCACAGGAATAGGAAACAAGCATTTAAAGGAAAATTATACAATCTTTTTTAAGGCATCTTAAGTATTCCTTTATTAAAATTTTTGAGCCATTTCTAATAGAATCCTAGTAACTATAAGTGAAGGAGAATCAGTAGGTAAGATGATTTACCTTGGGATCCAGCTTGGAAAAAGGACTAGGTTTGCCTCCCCAGCTGCTAAGTTCCATGATATTATCAAAGTCTTCTTTCATCAAATAATAAGCATCCATGAGTTCAACAGCAGCCTGCACACCTTCTACCCCTTGTGAGGTCAGTGGCTGCACAAGTGCATCCCTTATGTGTGACAGATAATCCAGGTTGACAGTCCTTTTGCTGGAGTGCGTTCTTAAACCAAAGCAAAACAGACAACTGTCAAAGTATCACAATTGGAGTTGTATTCTATAATATCAACACTGCCTCATCAGGCAGCATTCAGTCCACTTTAATAACACATCAGTAACCTGCGTTATGCAAATGCCAGGACCCTGCTTGCTAAAAGGGAGGACTTGAAGCACTTATTGCAGAAGATCAAGGAATGCAAACTTCAGTATGGACTGCATCTCAATGTCAAGAAAACAAAGATTCTTACCACTGGATCAATAGGTAACATTGTGACAGATGGTGAAGAGACTGAAATTGTCAACAGCTTCCTCGTGCTTGGGTCCACAATTAATACCCTTAGTACAAATAGTCAGGAAATAAGGAGATACTGCACTGAGCAAATCTGCAGTTAGAGACCTCTACAGTTTTGTGAAGAGTAATCATGTTAGTTGGAGGACTAAGATATGTCTGATTCAGTCCATAATATTGCCAATCACTTGTTATGCATGTGAGAGCTGGACAATGAATAAGGATGACAGAAGAAGAATTGACGCCTTTGAGCTGTGGTGCTGGAGAAGAGCACAGGACCTAAGAAGTAAGCATTGAAGGGAAAATTACTAGATCGTTTTAAGGCTTCTGAAGTATTCCTTGTGTAAGGAGTGCTACATGCAGCACTGGCAAAGGGAAAACCAAGCTCCGTGCCGTCAGGGTAATGGGTACACAATGACGTGCTCAAGTGCAGCCTTCTGCTCACCTGGAACGGTGAATGAACATGAATGAGGGTTCTACTTCCATCCTGCTCTTAGAGCCCAGCAACGGCAGTGTGTCTCTGTGTGCATGCTACTACAGCTAAAAGATCACTCACTCCAAGTTCCAAAATATTAAGAGCATCAAGCAGTGAAATGTCCCACTTCACGGGCCACTGTAACCTGCTACGTAATCGTAATACTTTTCTTTCTCTGTTAACAGGGTTTTGCCCTCAAACATCATAAAACATAGACACTATTCTGCAAAATCCAGAAAGGGGCACGCCAGCCAGGGGAGGGCTGAGAAAGCTGTTTCCAATGTGCGAACAGGTACAAAGTTATGACACCAACAGTGGTCTCTCTTAAGTGATGTCACTTTCTTCTTAAAAAAACAGAATTAAAAAAAAAACAGAATCAAGTATTGTTTCAAATGCCACACCCTAAACTTTTCTAATCCAGCTGTATCCATCTTCAAACACACTATTTAAGTATGCCTGCTTTACACCAGAGAACTAAAAAGCCATTCTATCAGAATCCACACTAGTATCAGAAAAGAGATGCAAAGTTTTAAAGATCACTTATTGAAAAATGGCGCTCTGGTGGAGCGGTGCATAGGGTACTACCAACCAAAAGGCTACCAGAGTCCTGCCCTTGCCTTCAGGTCACTGAAAGTGTGTGTCACAGAAGCCACAGAGCTCGTCCCTGATCACAGGTCTGCAAGTTCACCGACTGCTGTGGCCAGGAGAGTTCACAATACCTCCATTTTCTCTAGATTTAGTCTTCAATAATCAAGCATATTAATCCTAGAAGCAAAATATGAGTCAAGCCCGAATACCCAGAAAATCATAAAGCCATTTCCGAAAATATTTTCTTGCATTTTGTTGTTACCTTCTATTAAAGTTATAAAAAAGCCTAACAAAACAATCTAATGTATACCTAAAGAATTCTTAATCTCAAGAATTTGTCATTCATGCCTGGGTGCATTGCTCTGAGACTAAAGATCGATGCCTTCAAATTCTCAAAGGTTTCCATTTAAAAAAAAAAAAAAGACTAAGAAGCAAAAATAAAACTACAATTCCATTATTAAAGATAAACAGATCAACAGGAGTCATGATTCAACCAGGATTATAAAGTTAAACAGAAAAATTTTCTTTTACTTAAAAAAAAAAGTGAAATTCTTCCAGACATTCTTCCTAGAAACATATCCTGTACAGATTCATTCAAGTAAAATTTACAAGCAATTTGATTTCCTAGATGAGTAAGCCTCAATTTCTACCTTTAAGAATGTTCTATCTAAAAGGAGACAGTAACAATCCACCTCATGGAGGGTCTTCCTCTCCTGCACTGTCTCTCCACCCTCCCAAGCATGACGTCCCTCTCTAAGGACTGATCCTGCCTTGCAACATGTCCAGAGTATGTCAGACGAAGCTTCAGAATCCTTGACTCCAAGGAGCAGCCTGGCTTCACCTTCTCCAGGACGAACTTGTTTGTTTTCCTAGCAATTCATGGTATATTCAATACTCTTCTTCAACACCACAAATCAAAGGCATCAATTCTCCTTCTATCATCCCTAGTCATTGTCCAACTCTCTGATGCATAAAAATTGCAAAGACCATGGCCCATATCAAGTGCACATTAGTCTCCATACTGACATCACTGCTCCTCAGTACCTTGGAGAGGTCTCTGACAAGAGACTTTCTCAATGGAATTCATCTTTTAATTTCCTGGCTGTTGGTACCAAGAGTATTGATAGTAGAGCCAAGCAAACTGAAGCTGTCAACAACCTCTCCATCATCCATTATGAGGCTGCCAGTCGGCCCAGTGGGGGGATTTTTTTTTTCTTGATGTTGAGTTTCAATCCATACTGAAGACTGCAGTCCCTGATCCTCCACAGCAAGCGCTTCAGGTCCTCCTCAGTTTCAGCAAGCAGGGTTGTGTCATCTGCATATCACATATTGTTGATGAGTCTTCTTCCAATCCTGATGCCTCATGGAGCCCAGCCTCCTCGATAATCTGTTCTGCATAGCATAGAGATTAAAAAGATATGGAGATAGTACACATCTTTGATGCACACCCTTCCTAATTTTGAAACATGCAGTGTTTCTTTGCTCTGTTCTGATGACTGCCTCTTGGTCCAAGTATAGGTTTCACATTAGCACGATCAAGTGTTCTGGGATTCCCATTCTTCTCAGTCAGCCACAGTTTGTTGTGATCCACACAGTCAAATGCCTTTTTAACAAGTTCACTTTTTCCTGAGAAATGATTCTGAAGCGGAAAGCTATTCCTGCTCGGAAGAGGCAGAATGACACACACCGGCCGTGGAGGTGATCCCTACAAGACAATGACCCTGCAGGACAGAGCCTACGGAAATGGGCTGCAACACCTTTCTTCTGTGGAGCACCAGATGAATTGGAATTTTTTCAGTTACCAATTAAGCTAAACTACATAATAGCACCACCTCAGAGGTATAGTTTTAAACTGTATTTTTAAAGTTAAGACACATTTGCCAAATGACTAGATATGGGAAGTGTTCTCCTGATCCTAGATGGTAAAACAAAGGCCAAGAAAATAAAAAGCCCAAAGATCACATCTCTTGTTGTGTCAAATCAGTACCAACCCACAGTTGACCCTCCAGCAGGTTTTCAGGGGCAGTAAAATGCCAAGGAGGAGATTGCCCATCTTACTTTTCTCCTTTGGAGCAGCTGGTGGGTTCACATCTCTATTTAGCATTAAAATCAAAATGCAAACACAGTTCTTTTAATTCAGTGAATCTTTTTTTAATATAAGCTGAAAACTGCACACTGATAAAATGGTAGGAAAAGAGTAATGCCCCCCTACCTGAGACTCATATGCAAAGCCAGGTCTTGAACAATGCGATCATGTCTGCCTGTCGACGAGTGCTTTCCCAACCAGCTTGGAAAGGCGGGAAACTGAGTCATGTGCCCCCTCATTAACTCTCCAGGAAGAACACTAGCATAAATAGCCTAAAAAAAAAAAAAAGAGCAAGTCTAGCCAAGAATTTAAAATCCAATAAAGAGCTGCTTCCTCAGCAGCTGCTAAGAGGTCTACAGTAGAAGAAAAGGCAACATGGTGCCAGACCTCCAGTCAAGAGCAGCCCCTAACTGTGTGCCTGACGGCTGCTGCAGGAAACGTCCCCAGAGGACCGGAGGGCCTGCTAGCAGAGATGCTCTCACCACCGCAGTCTCCTGGACCAACTCATCTCAACAGTTACCTCTGGGATGCCAATGCCTCAGGAAAGGTTCATTTAAGAGGAATAGAATTCTCTCCAAACAGCTACTCGTATGTGTGAATCAAAGTATGGCAAGTTTAATAATTAGAAAATCAACTTAATTGGCCCCTGAGAAGAGTAAAAGAAGGCATCATTTCAGTATCTCTTGAGTCCAGAGACTCGCTTTCTAAGGTTAGAGGTATACAGTGAAACTTGAAAGCCAGTAAGAACTCTTAAGAAACGCCTTGGTTTTTCTCAATTTCTAAAGTTTTCTACCTTCAACACTATGATATCTTACTGCTTTTCTACTGCCTGCTTTAGTGGAAAATATTAGGGGTTTTGCGCCTTTTAGGCTTATTGTTTATATCTTTATTGTTATGATATTCTATCATAAGGATTTTTCCATATTAAACAATCCTTATAATAATTCTAAAGTCCTTCTAACACTCCTTCATGTAGATTTACCATAACTAGTCATTCCTGTGTTAGTGGACATGGAGACAGCTTCCAATTTTGCACTCTCAGAAGTAATTTAGGAAATATTTTTATACATTAACTTTTCCAATGCTTAAAATTATTTCTATAGAAATAACTTCTTTAGAATAAATTCTCAAATATATAATGATTAGGTATAGGAAAATATTAAATACTTTAAAATGTTATACCCTTCACGAGTTTTTGTTTCTCAAGTAATGGCTGGCTACCTGAGAGTCCCTTGCTTATTATTTAGGCCAACAATCTGGTATAAGAATGAACATCCCAAATAAGAACATTCTTAATAGTACTTGATCCAAAGTTGCTTTTTAAACAAGAATACAACTGAAGCTCACATCACAGGAGCAGCAGTGGCCCTGCCCTGGTCGCACTTCAAGGGAAGCTATGTTAGCCATCAGAGGGTGTGGGCCAAAACCAAAATTAATCAGTGGCTCCTCCACGGGAAACTGCTAATGCAACTTGCTGACATGAAAATGCTTTTTAAACCATTAAAAAATAAGTGTGAATTAAGAAAAGGATAACAGTCATTCCATACTGCTTTCATCTAGCAAAGTGCATTTCTGTCACAAGAGCCATAAGGATTATCTGGTGTTTCAAATATTGAAAAGCTACTTCAGTGTAGCATTGGGTAGGAGAAAGCAACTTTGTCCGCACTGTCAGGTAGGCACGGTGCTAACCTGTGTGGGCAGAAGGCTCCAGTTCTGTTTACTCCGGATCTGACTGTCCACCAGGTCACCATCACATATGCTGTCCGCTGCTCTGCTCAACAGCATCAAGTGCTTCTTCATGTCACCCCTGCGGGAAGGAGCATTGTGGACTACATTACTCTCCACCCACAGTGTCCCTGCTTCTCAGTGGTGCCTCTGGGGGCCTGGGGAGGTACTGCTTCTCCCTCAACTCCCACCCAGCACTCACCCTGCAGCCACAGGCTTCACGTGTACATAGTTCTCCTGGACAAAGAGGGGTGCTATTGAGTAATCGTGAAAAAAGAGGTCCAGCTTGTCCATAATTGACATAGAAGCAGTCTCTTCTCCAGATACAAATACTTTCCGGGCAACATCAAATGGGCCCTAAAGAGACGAACAGAGAAACAAAACAAAAAACCCCATTTTTTTAATACAGCTCTGGCTGTACTAAATTCAGAATAATGACCACATAAATCAGAACACAAAGGTAATTTCTGGTTTCATAAGTTATTAAACCAAACTATTTGAAACAATATTCTGAATAGTTCAAAACATTAAACTGATGAAATCTATAAAGACTCAAAAAAGCCATTTTGTATAACTGAATTATAAATGTAATTAAAACTTAACCCTTGCTCCAATTTACAACACTGAAGAAAATTCATCTGATTTGGAACCACTCAGCAGCTGTCAATGGTTCCTGATATATCTAGATAGATAGATAGATAGACAGACAGAAAGACAGACAGACAAGACAGATATAGAAATGAGTTCTTTAGGTAGGTCAAGGAACTATAAAGACCATTTCTATAAATTCCTATCTACAAAACAAGAAGTACTTGTTAAGAAATGGAAATTTATTTACCAGTTTGATATCTTTTTTGGCTCTGCTAGAATCAGCCTTGGCCTGGTCATAGGTTAACGCCTTATTCTGTGCACACCACATACTCAGGTTGTGTAAAACCTAAAAGAATCCAAACAGTTAAGACAACGTCAACATGGGAAAATGCTCCCCCTCACCTCCGCCCCACGAGGTATCAACACATAAGAATCATCAACCAAAGTCACATATTGTTAACCTACCTGTCTGATATCTTGATTGGCTCCTAAAATTATTTCATTCATCGCTGGAGGGGGGATCTTTAAGCCTTCTTTAAATGCAATGGACATCATAGCACCCTGAAAATGACATGGGAGATGGAAAAATTTTTTTTAAAAAATCAAACAGCCAGATACTTGATACTTTAAAAAACTGAACTTATATATTTAAGGAAAGATTGTTGAAGGAAAATAAAAAAGTCCAATCATCATACCTTAATCTGTTCCACCCGCGGTCTTTGAAAACGAAGATCAAAACAATAATGAACCAAAGAACGAATCTTGGGATGATTTCTATCATTACACATACAAATAATGGGGATTTTTGTGTGTTTTATCAGGCCAATTAATTCCTGAAAGTCAAATATGCAACACAAAATTAATTATCAATAGAACAATAAAATGTCACACAACATATTTTAGGTGTTTAGTGGGGGAAAAAACCCAACTACTCAGCAACGTGTTTAATTGTCAAATCAGAGGACGATAAATATTTATTTTCTTAAAACAAAAACAACAAAATCCCAGCAATAACATTGTGAACACATAGCCTTCCGTTACCTGGATTCCTCCCCGGTCTTCATTGCCGGCCATGCCGTCAACTTCATCCATGATGAGAACGTGCCTGGCGCTCACTGAAGGGCCTGCGCCACCTGACCCAAGAGCAGGAGCAACGGAACAAGACAAAAACAGAATGATTGGTTAAAATCTACTGCCTGAAATCAGGCTGAAACATTCTAAACTGGAAATGCAGGTGTATGCTGCAAAATTTAAAACAAAAGAGTCTGGAGGGAAAAGAACTTTGCCCTCCCCTCCAGCTCTCTTTCTATCTCCAGATGACGCAGAGATGCTCCAAACATATTAAAAGTATGTACGCATAGAAATATAAAACAGGGTTTTGTCCTTGAAGACATTTTGTGATTTATTCTTTATCAATGGATACAGAACATCTCATTTATAAGAAAAAATGTTTCTATTCCATTTTACACAGACATCAAAATGTTATAAATCACCAACGACTAAGAAAATATTAGGATGCTTCCCATATATTCTGTATAAACTCTATGAAAAAAAAGTCTCCAGCCCTCTTCCTTTCCAGCCTGATCCTGGCTATGGCCCCCTCAAAGGGTGGTGAGATGAAGAAAGGCCCTTCAGCCATCAACAAAGTGGTGACCAGAGAGTACACCATCAGCATTCACATACGCATCCATGGAGTGGGATTTAAGAAGTGTGCCCCTCGGCCACTCAAGGAGATCCGGAAATTTACCATGAAGGAGAAAGGAATACCAGATGTTCACACTAATACCAGGCTTAACAAAGCCGTCTGGGCCAAAGGAGTAAAGAATGTCCCGTACCACATCTGTGTACGGTTGTACAGAAAACGTAATGAGGATGAAGATTCCCCAAACAAGCTGGCCACCTATGCTACCACTTTAAAAACTCTACAGATCAATGTGGATGAAAACTATTGGCTGATTATCAAATAAAGTTATCACTGTAAAAAAAAAAAAGTCTCCAATATACACATGAATGTCACAATAGATGAATTCCAGGAACTGTGGTTTCTGCCTTAAAAGGTATGTAGAACTTTAACTTTGGCAAACGCTTCCCAGACGCTCTCCACAGTTACGCCATTTATGCTCCCACCGTGTTTACAGAGATGCACCACTTCTGATTCTCTACTAGTCAAAATACCAGGATTTACATGGCCAAGCATATACCCAAGGTTCTGAGAATGCATTGTCTAAACCTTAATTTGGGCATGGTCTTTCTGCCCAGAAATTCTAACCACGCCAAACCATGAACCACAGACATGTACATGGTCACACCGTCTCTGATCTTCACATTTGCACTGCTTTCTGTCTCATTTATCAACAGCTTTCACCAATGCCCCAAACAGAATTACTGACTCATGTACTGATTCACATTATCTCCCTCAACACACTCTCTAACTCATTTTCTTTCCCTCTCCACTGGGAATTATCCTGTACGATTACTTGCAAATGTATAGTTTGGATACATAATGCATTTTCCCCAGCTGCCAAGAATCCTGAAGAACTAAAAGTGGTTCCCTGGAAGAGCTCCGAGAAGAGCCTTCATTCCTCTCTCTTGCCCCAGAATACAGCCAGGTTGGCACACAGGAGGTGATCACTCTTTGCTACTAAACACTGTAATGCCTTTGTTTTTCTCACACAACCAAAGAAATCAGGTCAAAAGGCCACATACTTGAATAAAAGCCTTTGATACTGGTATTATTCAGTGATTCAGAAACAACTTCCTTCAAACTGTTCTTACTCCGAGTGTCACTTGCATTAAGTTCCACGTAGCTGTATCCCAATTCCTAAAATCAAAACATAGGAAACCATTACAATGCAAATTCATTTCTCCCCAAAAAGGCAGGGCAGTTAAGAGAAGAATAAAGGTAGAAAAACTACATCAACAACTGAAGATTAAAATAAGAAAGAAAAAGCATGATACTGATACAATGAGGTCGACTTCCTATCTGCATCTACGTATGTGAACTTACAGAATTTGTGAGAAAAAGAGTCCAAATGCCTATGTCTCACGAGGAAAGGTTCTCAGTTTCATGTACATACACAACTAACACACAAACACACACACATCTGGAAAAAGTAATTAGAAGATATTTTTTTGCTTTGGCCTTTTGTAGGTTGTGAGAGAAGAATAGAGAGAAATGCTTTCTATCCACTCCTTTTCCCTAGCCCATTTCAATGTACCAAAGTTTAATTAACAGATCAGGGAAGCCACCCTGAACTGAACTCAACACTTTGGATGTTGCTGTTGTTGTTTACCATCATGTTGGAACAGAACTACAGCTGACCTTCTGACAGGTTTGCAGAGTTAGTCAGTCACCCAGAAGGAGACTGTCCACCGTTCTCCCGCAGAGCAACTAGTGGATTTGAACCAGGTATCTTTGGGAATGCAGTGCAGCTTCTTGCCACTAGGCCATTAGAGCACCCTAACACTTTTTATAGAAGAGTACTTTTGGCAAAGTAATTTTACTAAGTTTCTAAAAAAACCCTAGAAAGAACCAATATGAGCATCCTAAGGGTTCACAACAGATACAGAATCTTCTGTACAATGTCAAAAGGCAAAGTGTACCTCTTTAATATATACTGTAAAGTTAAATCAGTCTCTGTCAAATCAAACAATATGCAATCTTCCTGACAGACCAGGAAAAACCAAGTTACTCTGATCAACTTAAAATATCTAATCCCATTAAAAAAAAAAAGTAATACTAACAGTAAAGGAAACAGGGGGAGGTGAGGAAAAATATGCTCACAATTTCAAGGGCAAGTGAAAAAAAAATTGTAGCCTTTTTAAAATATCTCTAGAAATATAATGGAAAAGATACAATTTTTCTAAATAAAATATGGGAGAGGTGAACTCATTATTCTGTCTTTTTTTTCCTAGTCTCACAAGTTTTCTTATCACTCTCTTTAAATATTTGTACTTTCCTCCTGCAAGAGGTTTTATGTTATACAGATTCTGGCTTCTGGTTACTGAATTAGCTAAAAATTTAATTTAAACTCTGGTTCATATTCCAAAGACCAAAAGAAACCACCAGCGCAAAGGACACATGTGTTAGAAAATCCAGCAAGAAATAGAAATTGATTATTATCTCTTTTTTACCACTTTGGTCCCAACACATCAATTCTGATGTGTTTTCTCTAGGGCCAAAGCATAGTAAGAGACAGGACGGCAGTAGAACAAATAAGAAAGGCAGTGTGCTCCAGTGCCAACAAGCAGAAACAGATTCTGCCTGTGTGAGTTCACATCTTGTGCCCAGCCTCTTGCCTAAGGCTGTTTCATGTCAAAAGAGGACAATAACAGTACCCTCACTACCTTGAAATATTACAGGGGTCTATTAAATACCTGTATCAACACACAGGATGTATCAGATATTCAGGTTATCTGTAATATGCACTGGGATTTCTGGTGGCCTATGGTAAGAAGCTGTACTGCAATCTCAAAGGTACGCTGCAATTCCAAAGGTTCAAATCCATCAGCTGCTCCACGGGAGGAAGATGGGCAATCTCCTATGTGATTAACTGTCTCTGAAAATCTGCTGGAGGATCAGCTATAATACACTGTGTGCCAGCACCTTGCCTGCAATACAAGAAAGCACTACCTATAAGTGATTAACAATATTTAAAAAGGATAAGCATGAACTACTGTCAGAACTATCGTAAATCCCAAACGTGCAACCAAGTATGTCAGTATATACTCACTCAGCAGGTGACTCACATCTACAGCCATAAGGTCTGTTCCAATTCGGGTTTCTGAGGCTATACATTTTTATGGGCAGAGACTACCCATCCTTCTTCCACAGAACTGGTGGATTCGAAGCACCAACCTTCAGTTAGCAGTTTAACAAGCTACACACCCGACCTTTACGAACACACAATACACATTCGCACACACCATCCACACCCACGCATGCCCAGGAAATCTTTCCAGCTGCACCCACCTGGCACACCAGGGACGCTGTGGTTGTTTTGCCAACACCAGGAGGGCCTGAGAGCAAGGCTGCTTTAAAACTAGAGCCATCGTCTCTGCCAGCAAATTTGCCAACCTTTGCTGCTGGAGAAAAAGACGTTTCCATGTTAGCCAGCATCATCTAACAGACATCCCAAAATGCTGGGAACAGGTGGACACACACTTAGCATTGAGAGTACTCTTCTAGTTTTGTTCTAAAATTGCTGAATTTTCTACAACAGATAAATATTTCTAGAGCATTTAGGAAAAACCTACTTCCTACCTCACTCCATACCCGAACAAAACCAAAAATTTTTAACTCAAATTTAAAACACTAGTTTTAAACTGTACTCTTCTGATAAACTATCCTCTGATGAAACACCAGCCCTGGAACACACGGCCCAGTCTCCATCGTAACTTGAGAAGGGACTAGACCTCTAGATGCCTGTTTACTCCTTTGTAAAGTGAGGAAAACAGCAGTACATCCTCATAAGTATGTTTCATAAGTATGTTGTGAGGATGACAGTGCCAAGCAGAGTCTGGCATGCCTCACTCAATGTTTGTCAACAAGCACAATCAGCTGTATTTGGGGGAAAAATACTCAATACAGTGTGCTTGTAATTGTCTCGACAGCACAACTCTTTCTCACCACTGGGTGCCTGAAATATAAAAGGTGCTCTCTGTATCCTCAGTGGAGGAGGGAGATGGCGCCATTCAGTGCCAACAGGAATGAGAAAAAGTCCACCCAAGGCCTCTGAAGGTTCTCACCAGGCACCTGAATAATTTTCTGCCTCCTTCATGTTGTAAAAATTTTATGGGGTTTAAAAAAAGAGTAAAACAATTTTATGGATTTTGAGAAAAGTAAAAGAATCCAATTTGAAGCTGGTCTTGCACCCTCCAACTCTGTTTATAAGACAGAGTAAATGGGCATCACTGTCAGTGTCTAGTAACCACTGAGATATCACCGTCCCCCTAAGTTCTGCCTTCCTATTTCTCACACAGCATCCTCTGAGAGCTTGCAGGGCTGCAGCTCTAACTTGGGAAACACTACTACCATTTGTGATCTGGAACCTCAGGGTCAAGAATACCTTTGTCATTAAAAACTCAGTCCCACAAGGGCAAATATAAAACCATTACTGTAGAATGAGTACAATGACCCAAGGCGGGGGGTGGAGTGGAAGGAGAGACATGAGGATGTGCAGATGGAGGGGGCGATTAATCATGGGATTGTACAATCTGATGGGTGGAGGGTGAGGGAAATTGGAAGAATCTGCTCTGGAAAATAATGTCTTCAAATTTTGTAAATAAACTAGTATTTTTTTAAGAAGTGTGGCTTTTCATTTCCTATGACAAATGCCTAATGAACAAGCACAGAAAATCAGAAGCTCGGACTTCTCAGCAACAAATCCAAGGTCCTGGGGTTTTGCAGCTGCCTCAGCTTTTAAGTCCCATCTTCTACCCCAGCTGTCTTCTGCTCTCACAGCCTTCCTCTCATATCTTCAAACCTTAGCATAAAAACTCTTTCCCACCCAACACCCATCTTCACTGGGCTCAGAGCAGGACTTAAATATCTGCTCTTGGGTGAATGAACCAACTGTCAGGCACCCTCACATGTGCATAAAGGAGCACTAGTTACATACTGACAAACACACACAAAAAGGGAGTGAAGCTTAAAATCACCATGTTTTTTATCTTCAGATGGACTCTTGTGCCAGTTTCGAAGCCACCGTAGGAGTTTGTTGGCACAGCTCTGGTCACCCTGTTGTCCAATTATGGTCTTGAGTGAGGTTGGCTTATATTTATCGACCCAGAGCAAATTTTCCACCTTGTGCTCCTGGCTGTTGTCAGGCATATTCCAAGGCTCACTGTCAACACCTGCCTCTTCCTCAGTCCCCGGCTCCTCAAAGTCCAGGTCCTTCCGAACCACACTGCTTTCCTTTTTTACTGACTTTCCCAAGCCATCTCGTCGGGGAGTCAGCTTGCACTTTTTAGATTCTGAGTCCTTCTTGTTGGGACTAAATTTTCTTTTCCCTTGGTCATTTTTTTGGGGTGTTCGCTTCAATCTGGACTTTTCTTTCTTCATCTTAAAATATAGTAAAGTGAGAAAAAAGAAACTCGATGAGATAGACAAAAATTTCCATCTGAAAAAAGTTAGACGCTAGAGGGCAACCTGATACTGACCGAGTTGGTCTTTTGGACCTGGCTGGCTATGTACATCACTAACCCCAAATCTGTAAACCTGCAACTAACACACCAATATGTATGGTTGGGATGTAATTACCACATATAATTACACCAAGTGCAATTGTTTTAGGTGAGAATAAATGACTTTGTAAAGCATTTTTACTCATTTCCTAAAAAACAAATAAACAAAAAAACACCACCCAAAAAATACCCAGGAATATTCCTAGTTAGAGTTTAAATTAAAAAAAAAAAAGAGTGAATGAAAAAGAGATTCTGAATTCCAAGTATTCTGACAAAAGCATATATACACTGATGAACATGTTATAAACAAAAGGTACTGAATTGGCACAATGGGATAGCATTTAACCAGGAAGAAAAGTACTGATGATACATGTCACAATGTGGGTAAATCCTGACAGTGCATTCAGGTACACAGGCCACAGGGTATCCGGCTCTGTTTCTATGAAATGTTCACAACTGGCAAATATTCAGGGGCAGAAATCAGACCAGTGGTAAATACAGGCTGAGGAAGGCACGCAGAATGCCCATCTAGAACAGGCTTTCTTTCAGAGGTGATAAAAATTTTCCAGAATGAAGATAGAGGTGATGGTTGCACAGCCTTTTGAATATAGTAAAATCCACTGAAGGCTGAGGAATGGAAATAAAGTAGCAGACTAAGAATCCATGGGAAATGCTGGGGGGGAAAGGATGTTAGGTAAAAAAAAATATTAAAAAAGAAAAAGAACATTCTATGGGTAAAATATTCAATGATGCAAACAGAAAAAAGAAAAAGAAAAAAAAAAAGCTAAGCTAAATGTGCCATTTGGTTAACAGCATTATATCAGCGTTAATGTCCTGGTTTTGATCACTGGGCTATGATTATGTGATCTATTAACATTACAGGCTACCAGGTGAAGGATCAATTCAAATCCTTCACAAGAACTGTTGTAACTAGAGTAAACTGCAAAGACCACATAACCTCTGGAGTGGCAGTTAAGAGACAATAACCAGTGTGTTTCAGGTCCTGCATGTGTTACTCTATATTCTGCATATAGAAAGGTCTGCTCAGTGAGAATGAATGAAGCTCAAACCAAGAGAAGCAGTGACAGACACTGAACATCTGTAACATCTGAGGCTCCAGCATGTGCTAGACCAGACCCACCCTGCCACAGGTTAGAGATGGTACTGTTTTGCTAAAGCTACTATGAGCTGATTATCTGTCACAATTAAAAAACATTGTTACAGTTCTCATTAAGAATGACTTTATCATACTGTCTTAGGCGTGACCTATTATAGAGCCAACCCAAGAAACTGGGAAGTTTACTAAATTGATAGTGAAGTACAGTACATTGTCCTCTATGATCACTATCCTTTGAGAAAGATTAAAAAAATAAAGATGGCCCCATAGCTGAGTCCTCCAGCACAAAAGGAAACAACTGGGCTAATTTATGGTGCAGGGGGGTATCTTTTAGCCAAAAAGCATATTGTTGTTATGTGCCGTTGAGTTGCCTGTAACTCATAGCAACCCTATGTACAACAGCCCTAAACCCTGCTCTATTTCGTGCCAATCTTACTGTCTCTAACACACCTATCCACATTACCCTAGTCACTGAATACATCCATCTCATCAGAAGTCTTTCTCGCCTGCGCTGTCCCTCCACCCTCCCAAGCATGACATCTCTCTTCAAGGACTGATCCGCCTTGCAACATGTCCAAAGTATGTCAGATGAAGCTTCAGGATTCTTGCCTCGAAGGAGCAGCCCAGCTTCACCCTCTCCAGGATGAAGTTTTTTGTTCTCCTAGCAGTTCATAGTACATTCAATACTCTTCCCCAACACCACATATCGCTACCCAAAAAATGAAATGGTACCCAAATTCAAAGAAGTTTACTGTATACAAACCTCAGCTTCAAACGCTATTTCATACTTGGACTTCTTGCCTGGCATAGTTCGAATCAGATCCAGTAAGCCATCTTCATCAATAATTTTTGTTCCCAAGACTGCAGCCTATTGGTTATAAAATCAAGTCATTAAAACTGCATCCTTTCTGTAAACAGTATGATACTAGGGACTATTAGGAAGTAGAAAACCCACACTTTCAAAAATCAGCATCTACAGGAAAATACCATGAACAACAAAGACCATGGGAGATACATACATTCCTCACAGCAGTGAGCTGCACTCAGAGAATCGCATTACTACTTCTGTAGATTATTTACTTGCTCCCTCTACTCTGAAAAGAAGCAAAGCCACAGAGATCTAAGTTCAGGTCGTCAACATCTATGTCTGTTCACAAGGGAGACACTTCCTCCTGCTTCTTTCTTGCTAAGTAAGCACAAGGGGGCCTTTCTCCAGGCGACAGACCATAACTGGTCTAAGGCCAGGGGAGTCCTGATCCTCTCTGATCTCTCCTAGTTCTGACTGGTCATATGACCAGCTTGAGCCAATTAAGAGGTCAATGGGATTCTACAGGTGTTTCTGGGACAATTCATGCTTTCCTAATAAAACAGTCACAACAGTATGACATCATGTCACTTCCTCCATTATCCTGCCTTAAAAGTGTACTTTAATGCCTAGAACTATAGCTGTTTATAACCACAAAGCAATGTCTAAGAAGACCAAAGCTAACATGATAAGGACAATAATATCAAAGATGAAAAAAAGTAGACATGATTAAACTGCTGACCCATCCCCAGCAAATGCCTACTCTCTGGGATTCTTGTCACATAACAAGAAAACAAAGAACTGTTTAAACCATGGTTATTTGAATATTCTATTACTTGAAGCCAAATAAAATCCTACACAAAAGACTTAATCCTTCCCCTATAACCTCCAAATTAAAAAAAAAAAAAAAATTCAATTCAGTGTACAGTGGCATATACAGAACATGTATGTCTAGAGAAAAGAGAAAATCACATTTGTGTTTATCCTTAAAGAGACTTAAATTAAACCTGAGCAAAGAAGCCATGTAAACATGAACTGTGCCTTCAACTTAGAAAGCCAAAATCCTGGGGTCAGAGCCAACCACACTTCCATGAGGAAAATGATGTAGGAGAGAAATGATTTGTCCATCTTATTCTTTTCTTCTCCACTTCGCTCTGCGTGAAGGTCATATCAGGATCTGCCAAGGTAAGTGAGCCACTGAGCTGGGCTGAGAACACAGCAGGACCCACCTTGTCACTCTTGGACTGGCCACTATCCCGGCCCATGACCAGGTAGTTTGTCTTCTTGCTGACATTTCCGGTTACTTTCCCCCCATAACGCTCAATTAGAGATTTGGCCTCATCTCGCTCAATGGACTCCAGCACTCCTGTGATCACAAATATGAGGCCTTCCAAGCAATTGTCAGCTCCCTAAAAATCAAAAGGTTCAAGCAGAGAGGAAATTACATGGTAACACTCTAAGGAAATATTTCGCCTCAAACTACAGGAAGTCGATTTTTCCTGTTTGACATCATAAATAGTGTGAAAAGGCTGTGGAAGTTTACAACAAACTAAGCACTTCAAACTAAATCTTGAGAAATTCTTATGTGGACTACCATTTAATAAACACACAAAACCAGCAATGAAAAATACACACCTGATAATATTAGTAATACTCATATTAGGTATTCATTCATATTCTTATCCATTGCACCTCTTTTCTAGTTAAACTACTAGCTAACTTGTATAAATGTAAGCAATCTGCCTACAGTAATTCTTACTATTGATAAAAAAAGAGAGAAAAATTGTGGCAAACTGTAGTGGCCTAGTGGCAAGAAGCGGAACTGCAATCCCAGAGGTGAGTGGTTCGAATCCACCAGATGCTGTGCTGGAGAAGGAGGGACAATCTCTTTCTGTACCAGTCAGATCTGATTTGATGGTACACACACATAAAAGAAGATAAAAACGTCAATTCCAAAATTGGCTCATGTCGCTTAAATATACTTCTGTTTGTCCTCTTCTCTGTCGATTACCTTATGATAGTAAGTCTAATGATGTCCTCGCAACTTTTCAACAACTCAACTCACTGCCATCAAGCCAGAACAGGCTCATGACTGACCCTCCAGCAGGTGTTCAGAGGCTGTAAATCAGACAGGAGGAGACTGCCCATTATTCTCTCACAGAGCAGCTTGTGGATTCAAACTGCTGGACTTTGAGTTGACACTGCAACAACCTCCCAACTAGGCCACCAGAACTCCCCAGGAACTTACAGGCAAGATCATATCCTTTGACGGGAAAAACTAGCACATTATTTTTACTATTTATTCTCATATTATTAGACTCTACACAAAGAAACTTGGATGAATGTGATATTTAACCATAATTAAAACGGTAACAGTTTTAGTACTTTTTGTTTTTACAATCCAGTGGGGTTCAATAAATGAACCAACCAAGCAAAATGCAAATGAAAACTATGTATGATATTCAAAGTTACCATTCTTTGATAGAAAATTGAGATCAAAACAGACTTGAAATGAGCATGAAAAAAAAAAGATCTAACAAAATTCAAAGATTTCTACAATATCAGTTTTTTTACTTTACCATTTAGATAAAAAATATTCCTTACAAGAGAAAAAGAAACAGAATGAAACTATGAATCTGTTGGAGGAGTGGGGGAAGAAAGTCTTTTAAAAATCACACGGACCTAGTAATCCCCGCTGTCCTTGGACTGTCTAGTGAACACTGTGTTATGTGCCATCAAGCCAAAACTGACTCCTAACTGACCCCACAGCAGCTTCTGAGAGGCTGTAAGTCACATGAGAAGAGACTGTCCACCTTTCTCCCACAGAGCACCTAGCAGATTCAAACTCCCTGCCCTTGGGTTGGCAGCACCACTCCTTACCGCTGGGTGGGCCACCTTAACTCCCTTCACTACAGGTTACTTAAAATTCTTCTCCACAAATTCAAAATAATTCTGGAGAACTCCACATTCAGCCTCTCTACCAAATTCTTTCTCTGTAGAACTCCTACTCTGGGACAAGAAACTACCTATAAGGTTCAACCTCTTCTCTGAGATCCTTGGAAAGCGGAGCCTTCATTTCAGCCTCATATATGTCAAGAGGAAGCAAAGCTGGCATGTTCCTCTAGACCATATACAAAAAAGCTCTTGGTATCTCTCACCCCAAAAACACACTGTCCCCTAAACACTCTAAACCTCAACTCCCATTACTAGCTATAAGACTCTCTGTTTAACTCAACTTTCCAAAAATATTACCTACTTCTTCTGTTTGTTTTCTCTCCTCTCATCCTTCAACCCACTTTCATCAGGATCTGTCTGCTTTATTCTGTTCAAACTGTTCTTGCACCAAGGACTTTGCACGTTACTAAATGCAATGAGAATTTCCAGGATCCTCTTGACTGGCACTTAGCAGCACGACAGGCTCCTTTTAGAAATACTCTCTTCGGTGAGCTCTGGTGGCCTAGTGGCAAGAAGGTGTACTGCAATCCCAGAGGTGCACCGTTCAAATCCACCAGATGCTCTGCTGGAGAAGAAGGAACAATCTCCTCCTGTACCAGTCAGATCTGATTTGACAGTACACACACACAAAATAATTAAAAAAAAAAAACAAACAACAAAGAAATACTCTCTTCTCTTTGCTTCTGGGACAGTCTCCTGGTCCTGCAGTACACTGCTATACTCACAGTGCTTGGACTCTTCCAGGTACAGCATCCATCTCAGGTCACTCTGCCCTCACTGTGAAATGACTGACCCAACAAATCACAGTCACCTTCACTTGCTGTTCAAAGGCTTCAAGCCTTTCCTTGTACTAAAATCAAACCCATGGCTAGTGAGATGATTCTAAGGCCTGGTGACCTCCACTGGATCCCCAAGCCTGGAAATCTTCACAGAGGATACTGCTCATCTCTCTCCTGTGGGGTAACTGCTGGCCCTAAACCAATGACTCTCCAGTTAGTAACTCAACACATCACACACTCTGCTACCAGGACTCCTACTGCACTAACGGAAGGCTAAAAAGAGCTGATCTGACTTCCTACAGATTCAACCTAAAAACTTAACTTCTGGAGTGATCTCTTCATCTCTCAGGGATCGCCTGTACTCAGCATCTCCATGTGACTATCACATACAAAGCATATTATCACCATCAACAAACTCGTCATCACCTCCCCAAACAGGATCTGCCTCCGAAGGCATCAGCATCGACTCAGCCACTTAATGCCAGGAAACTGGAAATCACCCTGATACTCAATCTTTTTCAACAGTTATTTTCTTGTCAATTTTACCTCTTCTATTGAAGTTCCGTTCCTCTGCACCATTTTCACTGCTGTTGTTGTTTGTTGTAAACCACTGAGACAGAATCAACCCATAGCTGACCTTCCGGTGGGTTTTCAGAGGCAGTTAATAGCATGGAAGGAGACTACCGATCTCTCCCACGCTAAGCAGCTGGTGGCCTCAAACAGCGTGCTTTCAGAATTACAGCGCAGCTTCTTGCGTCTAGACCACCAAAGCTTCCTGTTTTCACGGCTATCACCCCAAAACAAACTGAATTTCACTGCCAGGGAGTAGGTTCCAACTACAGTGACCCTCCATCAGCTCAGTGAGGCGGCAAATCATCATAAAAGGAGACTGCCCATCTTCCTGCTACGGAGCCACAGGTGGACTCCCAGCCTTTAGGTTAGAAATGCAATGTTCTACAGACGCACCAGAGCTCCCTGGCCAAAATGTATCTCCTATCATTTCTCACCACTTTTCCTAACTTAATTCCCTGGACCAGAGAGAGGTCAACTATGAATTCATTAAAACTCATCAACACTCGACAACAATTCTACAAACAAGCTATACACTTCTGTACACACTCCTTCCTCACCTAATGGACCTACGGACAGAATAAGTTCCAAAAGTCAGGTTAATATAGAAAAATTGGCCTTATGAGGATCTGACCACATGGGACCACACAACGGAGCATCATAAACATCATTAACAGTATACATAAACAGTACCATTTCATCACCGCGTAACTTTTAAACCACTGAGAATCACAGTCCATCCAGACTGACACATAACTTTAACCATCAAAGCCGGTGTCATTCTTGCCTAGCATGTTAGCATGCATTACTTCCAGTTGTACACTGGTAATGTACAAAAAAAAAAATCAGGATGTTTTGGGGGATTTTTTGTGTGTTTTTTACCACTGTCATAAATGCAAAATATCAGATAAAACAGTTAATAAATGAGGAGCAGATGTTATTTCCTAGAAGCATATTCTGGTGGGAGAAAAAAAATTAACTCAAAAGATTTCTAGTATATACCAAATCATTGCCTAAATAAACTTGTAAGTTAAAGAAACTTCAAATGTTTTCTTACGAAATCACAAGAGAATATATGAAAATTCTCAGGGAGATTATCAACTGAAAATCTTTATCACTGAGGTATATGAAGTTCAACTGACATCTGTTTAGAATCTAGTATTCCATATACAAATGGAAATTCAAATACATGTTAAGAAAAGAAGTCCTATTAAAATAATTTTCAGGTTAAAAGAAAACAAAATCTATTAAAACACCAATTTGGGAGCTGACCTTTAGTTGCTACATGAGTATGCTGCAATTTAACATTAAGAAATATTTCTGAGAAGAGATGTATGTCTTTATAAAATTTTAACTTAAAAAAGTATTCCGGCTGCCTCACAAACTTTGTTATTTAAAGGACATTTTTTTCCCTTCTTATGCCCCACAGTGATATATATATCCCGCATTCCTGAGGATCTGTCGTTATTAATTCTCAGTGCAGAGCTCCATGGCCCACAGAGGCCGTTACTGGCATGGACTCCCAGGGCTCTTACCTTCGGGATTTCTTTGGAGCCCAGAGCTTTGGGGCCTTCTCTATTTAGGAAGCTCCGATAAGCTTGATAATTAGTGCGTTTCTTTTCTGAATCTTCAGGGCTTGGAGACTTTGAAAAGAGAGAAAGGAAACTGAGCAATCATGCAAAATTCTATAACATTTAAAATACATATCTACCAAATAAACCAAAAAACAAAAACCCCTCAACATGCCTACAAGAAAATATGCAATCACCACTGAGACCTTTTTTTCCTCTTCTTTTTTTATAAGAATTATTGGGGGGGAGGGTATGTGTGTGCAAGCACATGACGTCACATCAGATCCAAATGGCACAGGAGGAAATTGCCCTTCCTTCTCCAGCAAAGCATCTGGTGGATTAGAACCCCATGCCTTTGGGACTGCAACACAGCTTACCAGTAGGCCACCTGAGCTCCCTCATGAGACCTTAATTACTGTGCAGCCAAGTACGCCCCAGCTAACTGATGCCTACTGATGCCTAATTTTAAAATAGTGACATGTCTGTCCATCTCAATTTTTTCCAAAAGTGCCAGCTCTAAGCAAATAAACTTAAAAGAGTGTGTTTTACTTTTAGAAATTCACATAAATGTTAAACTCTACTCCACAATATGTTGTTGTGTACCATCTAGTCAGAACTGAACCACAGATGACCCTCCGGCAGGTTTCTGGAAGGAGTTAATCGAACAGGAGACTGTCCATCCTTCTCCCACATTACATAAAAGAAAACTTTTTCCAAGAAAAATGTTTTCACTTAAGAAGGCATGCTATGTTTCTCTTATGACTGTGAACATCCTAAACAACTGTCCTATTCTCATGGCATGAGTATCACAGGCCACAATCAAAGCCTTCATATAAGCCACCCTCATTGTTTGTTGTTGTTTGGTGTCCCTGAGTCCATAAGACTCACAGTGGCACAATGAACAAGAGATCTGAACCCTATCCTATCCAGTGCCATCTTCATCATCTCTGACACAGTTGAGCCCATTCCTGCAGTAACTCTGTCAATCCATCTGGTTAAGGGTCTTCCTCTATTTTCCTGATCCACCACCACCTTGCCAAGTATAATGTCTCTCTCCAAGGAGTAATTTCTTCTAGTAACATGCCCAAAGTATTCGAGATGAATCTTTGTTATCTTTGCCTTCAAGAAAGGATATTCAATAGTCTCCAATACCACAGCTCAAAGACATCAATAATTCTTCTGCCATCCTTATTTTCTAGCTCTCAGATGTGTAATAAGTGGCAACAAAGATCATCAATCAGGTGTTATCTGAGTCCTCACTGCTATTGAGTCAAAACTGATCCACCACTGAGTTTTCAGAAGCTGCAAATCACATGGGAGATTACCCATCTGTCTCCTGAGGAGTGGCTGGTGGATTTGAACCACTTGCCTTTGTATTGGACGTTCAACTCTTTAACCTATAGGTCATCAGAGCCCCCTTCATATGAGCAGCCAGCTCAAATAAAAGAACTGCCAAAAAGCAGATACATTCTATATGTCACTATTCTCATCTATATTTGATCTCTCCCATTCTATTTTATTCAGAAGATCTGAAAAGATGGATGTTGCTGCAGAAAATCCTGGGGAAATTTTTAATTAAGTATTCCAAGATCCAATTCAGACATATGGCTAGGGCACGTGGATTTAAAGGAAAAAAAAAATCCAAGTTCTGATTTTAAAATCACTACAAGACAGACTACTTCAATGTTCTTTTTCTTGCTATTTTACATTATTTTTAACTTGCAAGTCACCTCAAATCTCTGAAAGCGACAAAATACTACTTCCTATAAAGAAGTGACTTAATAAAATAGCTTTAAATAGCTATGAGTGAAATAAGTCATTTTGGGACACCTCTGGAACCCAATTACAATTTTTAGTAGTGGTTCTAAACACGGGTGTACATTCAAATCATCTGAGAACTGACGAAAACACAGCTGTCTAGGTAGCATGCCCTGGAAGCCATGTTTCTAACCAGCTTTGCAGAAAACCCAATGCACTTTAAAAATGTGTAAACCATTCATCAGTAATGGTAATTCTATGAGGGAAGCAGGGCAGGAAATCTACCCCAAAACTCTAGATTCTAAACAACTTACAAAAAATTACCTTTGAAATACAACCATTTGTGGAGTCAAAACTGTTACTTGATCAAAATAAATGGAATTTATTAAATATTCTGAGGTTCCCAAACTGTTTATGCAAAAACTGCAATTTCTATCCCAGCATTAAAATACACAATGGAGATTAAAAGTGTCATATAAAGATTTCTTCTTTTTTAATAAATATAGACAAGCCTCTGTAAATGAAAGAGATTTTAAGTGCCTGAAGAAAAACAACCATCCACAAGACAAATATTTAGTGGAGATAAGATTTCCGAGGCCAAAAAGCTAATTGTTCCTCTAAGCATATTTATGAGCAATCATAAAACAAAAGGACTTTTAAATCACCACTCTCCCACTATTCTACACTAATAAGTAACAATGAGAGGCAGCTAACATAAATAATATTTTGTTTTTAATTCTGAATGCCCAAGAGGTATACAGGAATAAATAGGAGGTTTTATGAAGGTTTTCAATGAGACCATTTTCTTCTCAAATGTATTAGAAAATTCTTAAAAAGGTATTTTATACTTAACTGTTTTCTTCCCTTTTGAAACTGATTTAAGTATCTTATTATTATTATACAAGTGCAAAAAAAGGGGGGGAAATTATTTCAGAACAAATCCAAATAACAATTTTAGTATTAACAACTGAAACTTACATAGCACTTATTATGTAACAGGTATTGCTATTAAACAGTCCATTACTTCTTGTTGTTGTGGTTGTGCCACAGAGTTGAGTCTGACTCATGAACCCTATGAACCAGATCTGAACCCTGTCCTGTCCTGTGCCATCATCACAATCTCTGACACACTGCCCAATGCTGCTGACACTGTGTCAATCTATCTAGCAGAGGGTCTTCCTCTCCTTTGTGGTCCCTTCACTCTCCCAAGCATGAGGTCCCACCCTCTACTAGTAAAATGCCCAGTGTATGTGAGATGAAGCTTCACAATCTTTGCCTCCAAAGAGCACTGTGGCTGCACGTTTTCCAAGATAAGTACTATTATTCCCCTTTTACACATGCAAAACTGAGGCACATACAGGGAAGCTAACTGGGCCAAGGTCATGTTTCTGCTCAATAAATGGCAGGCCTAAGTTCATGCTTGGTGCCACTCACTGTGCTATCCTGCTTTTTATACATTTGGGGTTTTTGTTTTGCCTTAAAAGCCCTATCACTTACAGTGAACAGTTACTTAAACTCTCCTAGCCTCTGTGTGCATTATCATTTAAAGTTGAACAATAAAAGTCAGTATCTGGCTATATTAGTAATCCATACTAAAGGGTTAGCTATTTAATATCCTGAATTTTTAATAAAAGTTTCTAATATGAATGCTGAAGATTATCCAAAAACGATTAGAACAGCACATCAGCAGAGAACTGCCGGAAGTCCAGGCTGGGTTTAGAAGGGGTCGTGGTACTAGGGATATCGTTGCTGAGGTTAGATGGATCTTGGCTGAAAGCAGGGAATACCAGAAGAATGTCTATCTGTGTTTCATTGATTATGCAAAGGCATTTGACTGTGTGGATCATAACAAACTGTGGCTGACTCTGAGAAGAATGGGAATCCCAGAACATTTAATCGTGCTAATGCGAAACCTATACTTGGACCAAGAGGTAGTAGTCAGAACAGAGCAGGTAACACTGCATGGTTCAAAATTGGGAAGGAAAAAAAAATTGGGAAGGGTGTGCGCCAGGGATGCATCCTGTCTCCATACCTTTTCAACATGTATGCAGAGCAGATTATCCGAGAGGCTGGGCTCTATGAGGAGAATTGTGGCATCAGGATTGGTAGAAGAGCTATTAACAATCTGCGTTATGCAGATGACACAACCCTGCTTGCTGAAACTGAGGAGGACCTCATGCACTTGCTGCAGAGGGTCAAGGACTGCAGCCTTCAGTATGGACTGAGGCTCAATGTCAAGAAGACAAAGATTCTCACCACTGGACCAATTGGCAGCGTCAGGATGGATGATGAAGAGATTGAGATTGTTCACAGCTTCAGTTTGCTCGGCTCCACAGTCAACACTCTTGGCACCAGCAGTCAGGAAATCAAAAAGCGTATTGCGATGGGAAAGTCTGCTGTTAGGGACCTCTCTAAAGTACTCAGGAGCAACAGTGTCTCTCTGGAGACTAAGGTGCGCCTGATACAGGCCATGGTCTTTGCAATCGCTTGTTATGAATCAGAGAGTTGGACAATGACTAGGGAGGACAGAAGGAGAGTTGATGCTTTTGAGCTGTGGTGCTGGAGAAGAGTACTGAATGTACCATGGACTGCCAGGAAAACAAACAGATTCATCTTGGAGAGGATTAAACCAAGCTACTTCTTGGAGACAAGGATTCTGGGGCTTCGTCTGACATACTTTGGACATGTTGCCAGGAGGGACGGGTCCTTGGAGAGGGACATCATGCTTGGGAGGGTGGAGGGACAGCGCAGGAGGGGAAGACCCTCTATGAGATGGATTGATTCGGTGACTGGGGTAATCGGGATGGGTGTATCAGAGGCGGTGCGGTTGGCGCAGGATAGAGCAGGATTTAGGGCTGTTGTGCATAGGGTCGCTATGAGTCGCAAACGACTTGATGGCACATAACAACAACAACAACAATATGAATGCACCTTAAAAATACTATGAGTTATAAAGTTGGAAATAAAACAGAAAGCAAACCCAGATCAACACATAACTCGAAAATAAAATACAATTTAGAAAGTTTCTACCTCTTTTTTCACTGGTGAACTTTTTGTTTTCTTGGGAGTTTTTATCTCTCCTTTCAATTCAACAGCATCGTCTGGTCTCTGGGAGCCTCCAGGCTCTGCTTCTTTTGAAGAACTCTCGTCTTTTTTTTTCAGAAGCGCCAGCTTAGCACTGGCCTTTGGAGGAGAGCCTTGGCCTGTTTCATGAACTGCTGACTTAGAAGGCTGCGGAGATGCTTTTGAACTTTCCCTTCTGGCTTGTTTCTTCGGACTGCAACTCTTTCCTTCTTCCAAAACCTGTTCTGTCTTTTCTAGGAAGAAAGAAAATGTTACAAGTGCTATTTTCCAAATGACATTATTAACATGGTTTTCTTCCCATTTTCAGTGGAGTAATATCACCTACAGACCATCATGTTGATTTAAGTAACACATCAAGCTTTTTGCTCTACTGCTTATATAGCACATTTTTTAAATATCATACATAGAGTAGATTACCTGTTAGTTGTATAATCAGTTCAAATTAATGGATTTGTCTGTCTTTTTAAATATAAATTAACCAATTCCTTAAAATAATATGGTAATCCACACCTAGGAATAAATATGGAATTCACTCCAAAAATAAATTTCAATGATCTGAAATTTACAGAGAAATACTTTTCTGACTAGAATGTCACATAAAAATACTACTAACGTCCAATTATGATTAATTTTAGAAAACATAATGCATGAGAATGATTGTATGAAACACAATGTGAATGAAGAATAATGTGAAACACAACTTTGTAAGCACACCAGTTTTAAAAAAAAAAAGAAAGAAAAATTACATGTATTTAATATAATCTGAAAATCCAAAATCCCGAGGTTTCCAGACGATAGTTAGCGATAGTTCTGTATCAGAGGACATCAAGGACAAAGCTTACACTGAGGAGGGAGCTTCTAGAGACCTGGAGAACTACAAGTCAGATAGATGATAAGAGCATCTCTACATTAAAAAGCTCTGAACATCTAAGTCTTTGTCCTCAGAGAAAGCACACACTGCACCACAGTGAGATTGAAGCCAAGAGCTGTAAAGCTGTAACACAAGTCTCACAACATCAGAGCAGATGAATATCATGTCAAATAGCTTTCAAAGTCTTCCACATAGTCGCCAGCTGGCTAATTCTAAATACAAATTTTTCTCACCTCAAAAAAAAAAAATCTTCCACATACCTATCTATAGTCTGAAATGTCTTCCTAAACACACAAGACAATTAACAAAAATATATAAGCAAGATAATTGTGAATTTTCTCCTATACCAATATTTCAGCTTATTTTGTTTTCTTTGCTAATCTTACCTTTATTGGGATATTTTTGTTTGTCTGATTTACTTAAATTGGCTTCTACAGATGATGTGTCTTTCTCTTCTGGATCCTTTCGAGTCTAAGTAAAATTATAAAGTGTCAAATGGTACAAATAATAGGAAAAACTATTACCACAAAATCTGTTGTTCAAGTCAATTAAAATTGTATTTCTGATCATAAGGACATTTTCCAACCTATCAGGATACTGCAATAAACCTTTCATTTATCCACATAATTTGTGGGGCAAATGCATCATGTTTTAGTACTGTAGTTTATAAATGAGAAAAATGATGTAAGAGTACAAAAACATACCTATAAAATCTATCCTAGTTCATCCCAATCTGGGAAATCTAGAACCGACAATCTTATTTCTAGTTCATTCATCTTAAACTCTCAATTTGTGAGGTCTAGTTAAAAACTAAAATCCAAATCAAAACACTTATACAAAAACTAAACTTTAGAATAGGAACCATCATTTTCTCAAGAGAAAATAAAAATCTTTGTCCCTTCAATTCATTTCTACATAAAAACTTCATTTCTCAAAGAAAACACAAATGAAGATTTGTGATACAGTATTTTGAAAAGAATTATAATCTGAAAACCTTTTCAACTGACAAAGTCTCTACCATATCCTATTGTCTTAATATATCTTCTTGCCCACTTAAGTCTCGGTCCCTGGTCTAAGTTTGCACACCCTTTCTATGAAGGAAACTCGCAATGCTATCAAGTCAGAACAGACTCAGCTGACCCTCTAGTAGGTTCGCAGAAGTTATAAATAGCACAAAAGAGATTAATCTTTTTGCCCCAGAGCTGCTGGTTAATTCAAATCATTACCTTTGGTCACCTTTGCAATGGCAGCACAACGTATACTATCTAGTATAGCACAGTAATTGGCCAATTATGAAAAGCTAATTTATGCATCCTGAAGAGGAAATAATATTAAAAAGTTACTGAAGGTGTGTTCCAGACAAATTCTGAAAAGCATTATTTATTGAAAAAGCACCTAAGAGCTCCTTCGAGACAGAGGAAGGAGCTCTGGTGGCCTAGTATTAAGAAGTTGTGTTGCAGTCTCAAAGGCACACGGTTCAAATACATCAATCATCTGCCCCATAGGATAAGGATGGGCAATCTCCTCCCATGCCCACTAGAGGGTCAGCTAAGGGTTGTTTCCAACTTGACGGAACAAAACAACAAGAGAGAGCATAAAGACAAGGTATCAATTAATTGCTTTATAAAGGTTCTGGATTGTTTGGGCTCTGACAATCTTCCACGGAATATAATTTTCTAAGTAAATTTCCAAAAATATTTTTATTATTTAACTTAGCTGTATCTGGAAGAATGACTCACAGTTGTAGAATACACAAATATAAGAAGGACTATTGGTAATAAATTTAGGAGTACAAACAGCTTCACATAGAGGTACCTTTTTGGTCCTGGGTTCTTCATCCAACATAGCTAATGTTTTGGCAAACTCTTCATCATCATGCAGTTGCTTCTCCAACTGTAAAAAGTGTCAACACAATGAGTTGCTTTTGTTCTTCATCTAATCATTGATTAACAATACTTAGAACTAGGAAAGCATTTTCCAGAAAATTCCTGTCCTTTCCACTAACACACCAAGAGTGGTATTCTTCCACTAATATTCAAATAGGTTTCAATAAGCCAACGTACATTTCAGAACCGGCATTTCTAGCTAACCAGACAGGATGAATAACCTGGAAATATTCTAAAAGTCACATTTCTTATAAAATTCAAAACCTACCATTTTCTCTTAATAGTCCTATAATAAAACTTATAGATATCTTCTGTTCATTTAAATTCTAGTAAAGGCTTTGAAACTAATCTCAATCTAATGGGAAAACAATAAATTGCAAGGCACAAAAGAAAAAATGAATCTAAGAGATTACATCTATTTCTTCACATATTATAATAGAAAGACATAAATGCAGCAACTCCTGGTTTCAGTTACTGATTCAAATATATGTGACTTTTAAAACATCAAACACAAATGGCATAACATAGTCCCTAAGGACAATGCTCTACATTCTACATTGAAGAGCAGTGACTGAGAACTTAAAATCTTAGTCATCTAAGTCACAACCACTGGTCTTTTCCTGTCTGGGGTGAAAAGTAGTGAAGACCATCAAAGAATGAAGGAAACAAGGAGTCCACAGCATCAATGGATCCTCAACTTACATAACACTGAGACTAGGAGAAACGGGTGGCACACAGCCACCACCAAGAACCAATTATGAAACTGATCACGAAAGAAGGACCTAGATAAAAAGCGGATAAATTTAGAACAAAACCACAAATTGCAATAATGGTCAGGCTTACTGGCCTTTAGAAGACTGTGGAACCCCAGGGCTATGGTCCTTAGCTACCCTTTGCATCTGAAGTTAAATACATCCATGTGGCTAAACTTGTAGACAAACGACAATAGAGATCTGTAAGGTAAACAGTAACACCAGAGAGAGCACTTAGAACACTGCACCACCTGTTTTCAGTTAACATCTGCTATTCCCGACCATCTCAGGAACAGATTTGAGGCTTTGAACACTAATGAACGAAGGCCAGATGAGTTGTGGGAGGATATCAAGGGTATCACCCAGGAAGAGTGCAAAC